CCCCCCCCCCCCCGAGGCCAAATCTGGATCCGCCCTTGTTCAGCCCCCTCAATTGTAGATCAATAAATCGTAATTTTTATTAAGGAGATACCTTTTAAGAAATACTTTTACAGAAATGTACTGTCGTCCCAGTCATTCTTTCTGAAAGAGTTAAACATGTTTAAAACGGCTGAACGGATATTGATAAAATTTGGGATAGAGAGAGCATAGTCTGGACGAACAACAGGCTACTTTTTAACTCCACGCGGACAAAGTCGCGGGCGAAAGCTGGTATAAAAATAAGTTTTATACGTTTTATACTTGTATTATTATCGTAGCTTAGTCGACCTTTTTGTTTCATGTCGCGTGACCTTAAGGCAATTGTTTAGAGTTCATCCCGGAAATAAAAAAAAAACGTGATGTAGCGATTCGTGAAGCACGTACTTTCTCTCGTCAGCTGCGTGGATGCGGATATGATTCTTTATAAATACTTAACTACGTTTAATATAAAATAATAAGTGTTTTTGCAAAGTCTTGGGGGAGAAATATTAAAAAAAACTAAGCCTGTTGTAAAGAAATAGTCTGTCTTGAGATTTCCAATGTATGTTTAGCATAAGTAATATTCATCTAGGGTCTCCCTAAGTTTAACGACTCTATGTAAGAGTGAACTTTACAGTTTTTTACATTCCCAGCTTTTTGGTTATTCATTTGTCGTTACAGCGTTAAGATAAATTCGTCTAACTGTGCACAATGAGGGTTCGTAACTCGTAGAAAAACTATTTTAAGTGTCTGTAAAGTTAAAAAACTTTGACTTGAACTGCGTCAGATGTTCGGCACATGCTGTGCATGTCCTTATCCTTTCTTACTTATAATATAACCAGCCTTTACCCGCGACTCCGTCGGAAAAATAGGGGGAGGTTCAGCTTAACCAATACAGGATCCAGTGTCGAGCTGGTTTTCAGTCACCCCCTCTTCCCAAGATGTAAATGGGAGAGTAGATAGTCAAAGGTCGCTATACACTTGTAATATATTTATAGCCTAAGCAAGAATAAAAATCCTGGTTTACTGCGTCAATTCTTTTTTTTTATTCACTTGTATATATTTTTCTGTTCTGCCTGTACTATACGATAGTGTATAGAAGTTACTAATCTGTATGATTATCGTCCAGTCTCGAGTATATGTATCCTATAATTGTCATAGATTAAACTCTTGCAGTGCGTCTTGGCATTATAACCAGTTTATTTTTACTCCGGCATTTTTATTTCCGATGTTCTTTTTAGAACTGGTTACATGCACTAGTTCTATGAACTTATTTTCAGTATGCTTCGAGTCAATGGTCCGATGTTTAGTTAAAATTAAATGCATTTTAATTTAATTAAACGCAGGATGCATTACATATTTATCTTCTTTATTTGTGAGTACAATAATTCAAATTAAAAGAAACAATTTATGGAAATATAAGCTAAAACTTATTATGCAATAGAATTCAACTCACATCGAGGGCGTTGCCTCACAGACGGACATTGTATATTTGCATATATGTATATACATGTTCGGGTCAACAGTCAATGCACGCCCACATCTCGGTGCATGATTGATTAATTGATAAAAGATTATCAGAACGACCCCTTGCGTACGGGAATCTTGATGAGAAAATTATAAAATACTAGCTGTTGCTCGCGTCTTCGTCCGCGTGATTTAAAATATAGCCTATGTTACTCACAGTTAAATTACCTTTCTAACTGTGAAAGAGTTTTAAAAATCGGGACCGTAGTTTTTGAGTTGTTTATATACGTACAAAATACAATTTTTCTTCTTTATAATATTAGTATAGGAAAGGTATACGGAGAATTATAAATAAAATCTATTAAATTTAGTTGTAATGTTAGTTTAAAGCGAATAAGCGGGTCTAGTCTTATAACCACTTTAGCTCCCGCCATTTCATTAAAATATTACGTATGTAAATTAACTTTTTTTTTAATTAACCAGTTTAGGAATAGAATTTTCTCTTACTATACTATATTTTGTGATTTAAACCGTTTAACAACGAATTCCTTATCAATTCCAATATTCAGTTTAATGTTCCGCTAATCGTTTGTCCTCTATCCTTATCAACTATTCAATACACAATCATAATACTTACGATATCGTTCTTTGTAAATCATTGAGTCATATTCCATTGGGTATTAAAAAAATATTTACCTTATTGACAATACAAACTTTGAGTGATACTGTCGTACTAATATAGTAATACCAGATGTATTCACATGAAAAAATATAAAATATGTCTTATGTAAATTAACTAAAGTGACAAGCGTCAGTTAAACTGTTATTTTAAGTTAAGTGCAAAAATAATCAATTCGTTTGTTTTTTTATCTTACCCGAAAACTTTGTAGAGTCAATCGATTTTGTTGATTCTTTTTAATTGATAATTTACTCCGTATT